CACGCAAAAAAATGACTTAGGAATATCAGCTAAATTGCAGTAGCTGCTTTGAATTTAGTTAAAAGGCTAAGTGTGTTGCTGCCATTGCTAAAAGTTGGTGACTATAGATAAAATGCAATCACTGCGAGATACAACTTTATTAGTTGAAAAAATAGCGCACTTTCGCACGAGCAGCTAAGAAAGTAGCAGCTACTGCGAAACATATTACGCGCGCGATCCCGACATGCGATTCGCAATTGTTTTTGAGACGTTGCCACACCTGTATGTATCAGCGTACATTACTTCGCGTGTGGCAGCGTGTGGTACGGTATCGTTCTTTTCGTCCCGAGTTTCGTCGTATAATAATTCTGCTCAATTCTGTTCAACGTATTTTCCTGCGAGTGTCTTCTAAGTGACGTGGCCGGGCGTAGGAGTCCCGTCTGGGCCGTCGAGCGGTTCACGCGTCTTCCGACGGAAGATTTTTTGATCCTGCGGGATTGCATCATCCCGCGCGTGGCCCGGTTGCCGGGCCGTTGCATTGTTCAACTCGTGTTTAGCCTGTTGGTTCGACGTGGCCGTGTCACATATAATAGTCACACAATGGAAGTACCAAGTGATGTGTCACAATTATTAAGAAGATGGGGTGTATCGGAAGCCGTTATCAAAAGATTCCAAGGTAAGTGAACTTAACCTAACTAATTGCACGTGATAAGCCTCGTGTACACGACAAGGCGTAAAGCACGGCGCAAGAGCTCAGGCGTAGGCGTTGGAAATAAAATTAGTTTATTTCGCTTGCACCGCTGCGCCACGACCCTGATCGGGAAAAATCCTCATGCACCTGTGCTCGCGCTCTTGCGCTGCGCCTTACGCCTTGTCGTCTAGACGAGCCTGTATAGATTTTTCTGGAATTGTACAGCCGGCCTAAATAAAAATAACTTTAGCTATTAAAAATTAGTTAACATAGTCGTTTATCATTTTAGAAAATCGGATACGAGTAGAACATTTAACGAAAATGACAGAGTTTACTTTGGAAAAACTAATACCTATTGCGGGTGAACGTTTAGATTTAATGGACCATTTGCAAGCGTTTCAAGAGAATTATACACAGACACAAGTAAGTGTTCAATGGATATTATTGGACGTAAGGGTGGCGTCCCATGGAGCGGAATACGCGGAAGCGGAATCAGCGGATCGCCAATCGCAAGATCATTCTGATAGAGCCCTTTCACAAATTCCCTCGAAACCGTCTTGTGATTGGCGATCCGCTGATTCCACTTCCGCGTATTCCGCTCCATGAGACGTCGCCCTAAGACAACGAACATATTAAACTTACAATGACTGTTTTAGTTTATTAGTATACCATTTACCGTGCCAGTTATTGAAAATGAAAACGCTGACAATGAGATGTCTTTTGACACAGATACAGGTAAATTTCTGTATTTTTTAAATAAATATGTTAATATATCTCTTTTTGTAAACGTTTTACATATATATGATTCTTGAAAATTTGATTAATCTTCTATTTTCCTTTATTATAGATACCCGCAAAACAAATATATCTATTATATCAGTAAAATCTGATATAGCATCTGATCAATCAGAATTTTCCATGTCTTCATTAACACAGGGCGAACTAAGCAATCCCAAACCGTCAACGTCGCAAGAAACAGTAGAAACATACCGAGAAACATACAAATCTCCAACAAACCAATTATATGAAAAGAATGATAAATATGTAAGTATATTGAAATGCATGTAATCAAATTACAATTATATTAAAATGTTATTATAACATTAAACATAAAAACAACATTAAAATGTAATTGTAATAATGACAAAAAATTAACCTACAGATTTTTTATTAAATATTGTAATCTTTTTCTACAGGATTTATTGGCCTTACTACAGTCGTCCACTTCAGGAAAAATGGTGTTGGCATACTTCCGTGAACATGCGTGTCTCAACTCTTGTATACGTAAAATACTCGCGAACGAAATAATTAACAACGAACTAAGTGTTAATGTATCTGCTGGGTATGTACTAGTAATATTCAAGGTAGTAAAATATTTATTTATTTCATATAAAGATATTTTTTAGTCAGTTTAACATTTTTGTTTTGTTTCTAATAGATTGCCAAACGAACGAGTGGAATTTCTTGCCAAACAAATAATAAAATACTTTCCATCTGAGCTGGAAGTAAGTAATAAAATGATAAATTATGTGAAACATATTTATAATCTAGACCTAAATTTAGTTAATACGATTTTTGTTCTATTTATATAGGTCATATGGAGGGGAACATATGTGCGTGGTGGTAAGCGTCATCGAGAGAGTTCTATAGGAAGAGGTATACTATTACAGCGGTATTATAATATTCGCAGAAAATTAAGGAAATGCGGTGTGTTGAGAAAGGAAGTGTTAACATATACTACAGAAGATTCTGCTACCTCAGGTAATGTAAATATTAATTAAAAAACATTTTCGCTCGATATTTCTGTTCTTATTGTACTTCATTTATTGTATAATTGTTTTCTGTTACATTGTACTTATATAAATTCCCATTTTATTGTTATTTTCCAGAAGTGGAATTAGATGATGATATCACATCAGATAATATTCAGTGGTTAAAAAATAATAGTAAACCATGGACCAAAGTACAAGAATTATGGAGACTGACAAACAGGGGTAGAATACGATTGCTACAAAAAGAAGCAATTGCTGTTCACGTTTATATGGATATGTTTCCTGCCTTAAAACATGTAAATGGTTATCTACTAGTATGTATATTTATGGAATAATTAATGCAAAGTATTTGTAATGGATAGTAAAACAATACATTTCTAATTTTTGAAGTTAGAACAAGATTTTGAGGAAGTTTATCCAAATTCTGGAATGAAGTTATATGCGGAATGGCCAACGCTTGCAACTTTTATTGAAAGAAAAGTATCAAAAACAGAAAGAGATAACATTAACAACTCTCTTACTCCTGGTAAATACATAACATTTTCTTTCTTTTATGCTTTTTTAATTAATATTAACTATTGCTGCTAATCAGTTACTAAACTATTTTTTTTCAATACAAAATTGCTATAATTTGAACTTATAAAATTTTTATTATGAACATTAATTAATATTAATTGTATCTTTATAGACATTTGATAGTTGTACCAACGGACATATTCTGCAATGTGCTATAGATGCATATCAGTTTTAATAAAAAAATAGACATAATAAGTATAGATCAAGTATTGGAGGAGCGACGGTAGACTAATAGTAGAAAAGAAAGGACTCAGAATCAAGGCAAAAGAAAACGCACAACCCCGAATCAGAGTCCTTCTTTTTCTATCAACAAAGAGAAACGTGAGAGTGGCCACACCAACGTTTTACTTGATACCGTTTTAGAAAACTGTTTTGCGCGCCCTTACGCCTATTTTTACTTTTAAAACTATTTTGCTATGCATCTTCTGACACTGCCGATAAAGCCTCCACTTTGTGCGTGTTCATACTACACCTATTTTTCAGGATTGAGCTGTGGATTTCAAAATTAAATTAACATAAATTATTTGCATGATTACATCAATCTTGTTTATGTAGTCAATGTAAATTTAAAAAATTAGATGTCAGAATGCATAGCACAGACATGCACC